TGCAAGTGGATCAATGGTAGGGTGGTGGTATATGGACAATGGTTGCTCAAATCACATAATTGGAAACAAGCAATGGCTGGTTGATTTTGATTTTGATAAGAGGATCAAGATCATATGTGCTAATGATGAGTATCTGAATGCTAAAGGAATGGGAAATGTCAGAGTTAAGTCAAATAATTGAAAACTGTACTGATTAAGGATGTATAGTGTGTTCCTGGCATGAATAGCAATTTGATGAGTGTAGGTTAGCTGATTGGAAAAGGATTTTCACTAACCATAAAGGATGATCTCTTGAAGTTCTATGACTGTAATCAAAAGTTGATTATGCAGTATGAACTTGGAAGAAACAAGATGTTCAAAGTGAATTTTTCAACAACAGACACTCAGTGCCTTAGTACAAGAAGTGCTAAAAGAAAAAGTGAGTTGTGGCATAAGAGATTGAGGTATATGAAATACAGAAGCTTAAAGCATCTGAGTTCAAAGAACCTAGTACATAGAATTTCTAAGATTGTGTCACCAAAGAAATCATGTGATATATATATAAGAGGCAAGCAACCAAGATTGTCATTCTCATTAAAAATACCTCCAAGAGAAAATCATGTTTTGGGTGTGGTTCATTCTAATGTATGTAGTCCATTTGAGGTACCTTCACTTGGAGGGAACAAGTACTTTGTTTCATTTGTGGATGAGTTCACAAGAATGACATGGGTAGCATTCATTAAGTTCAAACATGAAATGTTTGCTAAGTTCAAAGTGAAGACTGAAAATCAAAATAGACAAAGGTTGAAGATCGTCATAATTGATGATGGAGGTGAGTTCAACTCAACAGAGTTTAAGAAGTTCTGTGAGGAACCTGGTATTGAGCATGAGGTGATTGCTTCATAAACTCCACAACATAATGGTCTTGCTAAAAGGAGAAATAAAACACTGCTTAACATGACAAAGAGCATGTTGAAGGAGAAGAACCCACCTAAGCAATTGTGGGGTGAAGCAATTGTTGCTTCAGTATATGTGCTCAACAGATGTCCAACAAAGAAGTTGAAGGAAGTAGTTCCTATTGAGAAGTTGTCTGGAAGAAAGTAAAATGTAATCCATTTCAAGTTGTTTGGTTCAGTATGTTACAAACATATACCAATGCTACTAGAAGGAAATTGGATGACAGAAGAAAATGCATGTTACTTATAGGTTAACATGGTACAAGTGCTTATAAGCTCTATTGCCCAGTTACCAACAAAGTTGAAGTCAACAGAGATGTCATAGTGAAATAATCATAAATATGAGATTGAATAAAGTCTCAATCTAACTCTAGTGCAATGTCAACACTAGAGTCTGATTTTGCCTCTAAAGGAGATTCTTCCTCTGAAGGAGATTCTGCCTTTGAAGGAGATTCTATCTCTGAAGGTGATTCTGAATCTAAACATGATCCTGACTCTGAAAGAGAGTCTGACTGTGAAGGTGACTTTGACTATGAAGGTGAGTTTGACTCTGATGATGGATCTGACTCTGAAGATGATCCAACCATTGAAGGTGATCTAGCCTTTGAAGGTGGAACTTATGAAGGTGGAGCTTTTGAAGCTGGTCCTTCTTCTGAAGGTTTTTAAAGGCCACAAAGAGTTAGACATCTACCAAGGAGAGTTGGAGACTTTGAGTTACTATAAAATATTGAGATTGATTCTGAAGGAGAAGTCATATATAATGCAATGAGGGTGGACTCTGAACCTGTCAACATCAATGAGGCTCTTAAGAAGATGTGGGTGAACTCCATGAAGGAAGAGCGTGATGCTATTGAAAGAAACAAGACATGAGAATTGATTGTTCTACCTCATAACAAGAAAGTTATCAGTGTGAGATGGGTTTTCAAGATAAATCTGAAGCCAAATGGTTTAGTTGTCAAGCATAAAGCAAGGTTAGTAGCTAGAGGATTCTTACAAAAGTCTGGTTTATATTATTTTGAAGTGTTTGCATATGTAGCTAGACATGAAACCATAATGTTGGTTATTGTTATAGTTGCAAATATGAATTAGCCTCTGATACATTTAGATGTAAATTCATATTTTATAAATGGTCAATTGCAAGAAGAAGTTTATCTGTTGCAACCTCCTGGTTTTGTGAAAAAGAACAAGGAAGGGACGATGTATAAGCTGCATAAAGCCATGTATGGGCTGAAACAAGCTCCAAGGGCTTAGAATCTAAATATTGATTCATTTTTCAGGCATCTGGGATTCAAGAAATGTGAAATGGAGTATGGTGTGTAAGTGCAACATACTTCTGAAGGCAATGTGATTCTAGTGTGTCTTTATGTGGATGACATACTTCTGACAAAGAGTTGTACTTCTGAGATAAACAAGTTTAAAAAGGTGTTGATGAATGCATTTGATATGACTGACCTTGGAAATGTGGTATATTTTCTAGGGATGGAGATTTTGCATTCTAAAAAGGGAATTATTGTGCACCAACTAAAGTATGAACTAAAGCCACTGAAGAGATTTGAGCTGATAAATTGTAATTCAGCAGTCACACCTGTTAAGACAAATCATAAGCTGGATTTTGATAATGATGGTGAGGGTGTAGATTTTACAACCTTCAAACACATGGTTGGTTGTCTAAGATATCTATGTAACACCAAACTTGATATTTGTTATGCAGTTGAAATGGTGAGTAGGTTTTTGAGTAAACCAAAGTGGTCAAATTACCAAGCTGCAATCAGGATTCTAAGGCATGTAAAAGGAACTATGAGACATTGAATTTTATTTCTATATGGAATGCCAGATGCTGCTGAGCTAGTATGATACTCAGACTGGTGACAGAGTATACAGAAGAAGCACTACAAAATACATGTTTATGTATCTAGAAGCCCTTATTTATTGGTGTTCGAATAAGAAACCAGTGGTTGCATTGTCAACCTGTGAAGTTGTATACATAGTTGGTGTTTTGTTAGTTTGTCATGTTGTTTAGCTGATGAATTTGCTGCAGGAACTGAAGTTCAGAGTGAGCAAACCAGTCAAGTTGATGATTGACAACAAATCTTCCATAAGTCTTGTTAGGAATCCAGTGTTGCATGAAAGAAGAAATCACATTGATTCTAAGTACCATTTTTCGCGCAATCAGGTTTAGAACGAAGTACTTGAGGTTGTTTATGACAGTACTCAGAAGCAACTTACAGATGTGCTAACCAAAGCAATAAAAACTGAACATTTCTTCAATTTAAGGAATGAAATTGATGTTGTTGATTTTAAAACTTGAATGTGAATTAAGGAATGATGTTGAATGTATTTCAACATTCAAGTTAGTTTACCTTTGAGTTTCATTTACATTTGAATTTAAATTTGGTTTGGATTATTATAAAACTCAAAGTTAGTTACAGTTTGTAACAAATTTGAACTTTTGTAGTTTGAAATCAGAAAATTAGTTACACAATTTTCTCTGTTTTTTCAATTCTCAACAATTGCTTATTATCTTTTTTATTCTTGTATACATTGTTAATGAATATTCATTGTTGAACTCCAATAAATATAGGGTAATTTTAACTTGTGCCCTTGGGGCACATGTTAAGAACTAAATTAATAAGCATTGTTTTGGAAATTGTGTATAAACTTTAATTAAAGTATAAAATTAATTTTTAAATCGCTTTTTCTAATGCAAATTTACTATAAATGGTTTTCTTAACATGTGCCCCAAAGGCACAAGTTAACATTACCCATAAATATATTATTTAAAAATATATTTATAATAGGTGCAATTTAATATAAGTCAATTTTATATTAATAAATTAAAACTAAAATTTAATGCTAATACTTTTGAAAGATAATAAAATCACAGTTGAACCTTAAAACCTGCTCTAATCTTAGTAATTTCCTGAGCCAAAACTCTTCTAAATTTTTATTATTATTTTTTATATTTTAATATTTTAAAAAATGTGTAGATTATGCATAGAGATGCCCCTTCACTCAAAAAGGACTATTTTTTTTCTTTCTAATGATATTACTTATTTGATATTTATTCTTATTGATTAAGATCTTAACATTATGGACGGCCTAAAATACACACAAGAATCTTTTTGGACCTTAGCGCAACTCAGTTAATAAAGGTCGATGTTAAAATAATTTATGACATCAGACAATAAATTAGTGCAAGTTAAAACTTTATAAAATAATGTAAAGCACGTGTAGAAGCTTCCACGAAGCCAACGTATGAAAAGGATGCAGTCATATATCACAAGAAAATAATATAAAATGTCTACAAACCCTGACAGAAAATTGACATGACATTATAAATATTTTTGTACGTACAATGTGGAAAAAAAATGAGAAAAAAAAAACATTTGGTGTATTATAAGCTATTTAAAAACAAATATGTAATAAATTTACCAACTTAAGTAAGAAGAATAAAAATGTAATAATGATAAAAAAATAAATGTAGTAAAAGCCACTTAATTGTCTATTGAAAAGGAAATATATAAATATATATATATATATATATATATATATATATATATATATATATATATATATATATATATATATATATATATATATATATATATATATATTAAAAATAATTTGGTTTGAAAATGCAACTCTCCATATATCTATTTGGACCTTGGCTGAAGACCACTTCATAAGGGTGACGGTAAATTATAAAATAATTTACTTCAAAAAGTAATATGCATAGACATAGAAAATAATAATAATTAGGTGAAAATTTGTTGTTAGGACAAAGTGACAAACTTTACTGCTTTCAAGGACAACGAAATGCAACGCATGTACGCAACTCGAAACACTTGACGAATCCACGTCATCAACAAACTTTTAAAAACAGAGTCGAAATTCCAAAATTAACCTCAGAATGTCGTATAATCTCTTTTATCTCCTTCTCTTTTCTTCCTCGATATATACGAAACCAACTGAAGCAACAAACTCAGAAAGCAAAAGCTGATTTTTTCGCTTTCTCTCTGTCTCTGGAAATTCATCGTCGTATTTTCCATTCTCATTGTCGTTTTCATGGAAAAGGTTGTTGGAGGAAAGTATAGAATTGGTCGCAAAATTGGGAGTGGATCATTCGGTGAAATTTATATTGGTTAGAATTAGAACTTCTCATTTTTTTTTTTCTTTTCATTTTAAATTCATTTTTTTATTACTGATTTTGTTGTTTTATTATCATTTTCAGGGGCACATGTTGTGACTTCTGAGCTTGTGGCCATTAAGAAGGCGAGTCTATTGGAAATTATTACTTTGATTTTTCGCTATTGCTGAGATTTTTTTTCTATTTTTTCTCTCTTTGTTGTAATAATTGTGATTAGAAAGTGATATTTTTGCCTTTATTGTTGAATTTTTGTGTATACCAGTGTCTACGTGTCAATGTCGTGTCTGTGAATTAGTGTCTACGTGGCAATGTCGTGTCTGATGTATGTGTACTAGTGCGTACGTGGCAATGTCGTGTCTGATGTATTGTTGCTTTTATAGGAGAACAAGAAAACTAAACAACCACAGCTACTATATGAGGCAAAGTTGTATAATATTCTTAAAGGAGGAAGTAAGTTATAAAAGCTGAACCTCGATTAATCTGAATTCCTTCGCAGCGTTTTCGCTTTGTTTTCTCAGTCCTTTCTAATTCATCATAGTCATGGAATTTAAGGTGGTATTCCAAGAATGAAATGGTTTGGTACTGATGGAGACTATAATGTTCTAGTTCTTGAACTTATGGGACCGAGTCTCGAAGACCTTCTTTACTACTGTGAGGGGAAGTTTTCGCTTAAATCGGTTTTGATGTTGGCTGATCAGATGGTAATCATTCATTCACTTTTAGACTACTTGCTTAGTTATCATTGAATGCGCCGTTTCCTTTCTGTTTTTAAGTTTATGGAAATAGCTTATAACATGTCCATAGTCTGCTTAACTAGTTGCTTATGGAAATAGTTTATAGCATATTCATAAGCTGGTTTGAGCTTAGTTCCATAAGCTCTCCGTGATAGCTTAAGAAAAAAAAGCATATAGCTTACATGAAAGCACTTATATGATAACTTGATAAGCGCTTAATTAAACTGTTTAGTCTAACAATACTTTTTTTTCTTTGACAACAGCTTACGAGGATCGAGTATTTACATTCCAAGGGACTTCTGCATAGAGATATCAAACCGGATAACTTCCTTATGGGTCTCGGGAAGAAAGCAAATCAGGTAGCTTCATTATTGTTCTTTCATTTCCTAGCAAACTCAAATGAATAGTTTTCGTATTTTGTAATTCTTTTATACTTCCGAATTTTATTATACGATGATTTATGAAATATGTTACACTCGCAGGTTTGTATGATTGATTTTGGACTTTCCAAAGGATATAGAGATCCTATCAGTTACAAGCACATTCCATACAGGTATAACGTTTTGAGATTTTTAATTTGGATGATAAGCGATGAATCTTTCTGTTGCGAGTCATTTTTCTCGATGAAAAACAAACACAGTTGCAAAACATCTTAGTGACTTGTGCCTTATCGCTTTGAATTTATCTAGCCATGTTACTGTTGCTTAATATTTTGTTTTACCTTGATAAACTCATCCAGAGAGAACAAAAACTTAACAGGAACTGCGCGTTACGCAAGTTGCAATACTCATAAAGGAATTGGTTAGTACACGAACGAGTTTCTCATTCTTTACTGTCTATATATGCAACCTACAATTTTCCATTACAATTTCGGTTTTACTTCTTCAGAACAAAGTCGCAGAGATGATTTGGAGTCTCTTGGTTACGTTCTTTTGTACTTTTTAAGAGGAAGGTATGTCTCATCCTATCGATTCTACTTTCACCGGTTCTTGTGAGTATCAATTGTTTAAGGCTTTTTAGGTAAATGTAGGACTTAACTATTTGGTTCTTGCATTTTAGCCTTCCTTGGCAGGGTCTGCAAGCTGCCACGAGAACACAAAAATATGAAAAGATTTGTAAAACGAAGTTATCAATTCGCATCGAGGTATGCAAGATTATGTTTTCCCCTTGTTACATACCCCCTCCGATATTTAACGTCTGACTACAATTTGCTTGTTCTTAGGTACTTTGTAAGTCATATCCTGTGGAGTTCGCTTCTTACTTTCATTATTGTCGTTCCTTGACGTTCGATCAACGACCAGATTATGGATATTTGAGACGCCTGTTTCGTGAATTGTTCACTTCTAAAGGTATTAGCTGTTTGCGGATCCAATAATTTCGAAAACTAAATTGATACATGATTCGCTTCCTACCTATGTTATCTATTAATGCAATAAAATTTTGTTTGGCAGGATATGATGCTGACTATTTATTCGATTGGACGATTTTAAAATATCAGGAGATACAACAAATAAAGGAACAAAATGAATCCATTGTGCGTGACTCCTTTGCATTTAGTTTCAAATTTTTTTCTTCGCAATTTCATTTTTAGGAATGTGAAATGTTCTACGGATTTGAAATAGCGTATGCATAGAATTTGTACTGATTTTATTTAATTTCTCACTGACAATTTTTAGGCTCCAGTTGCTTTACCTACAATTATTGAGCCGGTGGATGCGGACGAGCATATAGGTAATTTCAGTCTTATAGCTGAAGAGTTATGTAAAGCAAAATTCTGTTTAGTTTTCAGAACACATTCTAATGACTTTTGTTCTATTTTCAGAAGTCAATGATTGTACTCAAACTTCTGTGGCAAAACCACCAATCTATTCCGATCGTCCACGTGTTTGTATGAACCTCAGAGTAGCTAATGTTGAAAGTCTTGATGATGAGATTGAATCAGAGAAACATGTATATATTCTTCTCTGCGAGATACAGTTATTGCTTAAACTATAGTGATTTTTTAGTTATTTGAATGAATGTGGTTTTTGCAGAATGTGAATACTGGTTTACCTATTTCAACTGTCACGCCTATAGTTTCTACCGAAAATGTTCCAAAACCAGAAAGGACTGTAGAAGCCTCAAATCCGGACGGTGTGTTAGGGAGTAAATGTGGTGATTCCGGTGATATCATTCCTTCACTACGCCGAGTTTCATCCATCAATTAGAAGGTAAGGTGTTCGGTACAGAAACTTGAACTGTTCAAGATGAAGGAATTCGCCATTACTTTGCTGTGAAGCTTCATTGAGGTTGAAAATTCTATTATAACGGAAAAGCATGATCTGAAGTTGATCATAGCATTTTGACCCGTTTTCGAAGAGATCTTGTTTGAGAGGTCTAAGTGCACTACTGATGGTGTAGAAGAAACTCGAGAAAGAGTTGAAGACTGATCTCGCGTTGTTATGTTGCGCCATTTCCAATGGAACTACTGCTGATTTGAAGCTGGAGGACAGTTATCTATCCTTAAAAAAGCAGCAGGAAAAAGAAGGAATTCAAACCTTGTTAGATATAAATAGAGCTGAATTTCTCACACTAATGTTCATTTTCTTTGACTCCTATAATGTATGTAGTATTTTGTCGACCATTTCGTATGTTAGAATTAGATTAGAGGTTAGTTATGATTAGATAGCTTAGTTAGGATTACTGTATAAAGTGTATCTTACACTCATTGTAATGTGCTTTTCTCATTCTATCAATTCCAAATAATCAATCTTTCTAGCAATTTTTGTTTTGTTGAGATTGTTATATTGAATCTTGTTTCGAGTACTCTAACTTTGTGTGTGAATCTTATATTACCAGAAGTTTGTCTTCAGTATTTTAAATCTGTCAACTTGTGTAGCCTAAGATGACTTAGTTTTGGAATTCAAAAGGAGTCTCTAGAGGAACAATGGAGCCATTACAAAGGAAGATACCTTGACAATCTCCTTAAGCATGAAACCAACCTCCCACCCGAAAAGGGAAATAACAGACAGTCAAAGTGTATCTTACACTCATTGCATTGTGTTGTCCTCTTCTTTTAGCCTCCAATCTAGGACAGTCAAAGGCTTTACTTGAGGCTGGTTGTCTACAGATTCAGATTGCAACTCAAGCTCGATCATGGGGTTGTTGAAGCACGGTTTTATTTGTGACACATGAAACACGGGGTGGATTTTGCTAGTAGGAGGTAACTCCAGTTGAAAGGCTACTTCGCCTATTGCCTTCACAAGCTGTAAAGGGCCATAGGATCGTTTTGACAACTTGTGAACTCTTCAACCTGCAACACAATGGTGCCTATAAAGCCTCATATTTGCAAACAAGAAGTCACCTACCATGAATTTGTGTTTGATTGATCCGTAATGTCTTTCATGGTCTCTTATGCCTTAGCCAACTTGTACAAAGTAGTACGCTCCATCGAAGTGGGGCCCAACGCTCCCCAGATTTGACTGCTACCGATTCTATCATATGCTCTCGGAATGGAGTATCTCGAGAATTGAAGAAATGTTATCTATTATTCTAGTTAAATGATCACCATTTTCTTTACTGGATTGATTATTATTATGCAGTGTCACCTTCAAAAATCTTTTAAAAGTTTTTTTATTGTTTTTTTTTTTTAACATTGTGTAATGACGTTCTCTAACAAGCGTGTTATGTAGCGTGCCTTATTATAAACGATATTATTGAGATTTTTCTAGGTAACTGTTGAGTCTCATTTCATTTCGGTTCTCAACCCTATTTTTTTCTTGGTCTTTTAAATTTATCTTATCACCTTATTATAGATAACATTTCACCACCTCTCACTCCTCATTATCTCATGTGTCTTCTCAAAACTGTTTTTGATTTTTTTTTTTCATCTCAACTCTAAAACTAGAAATGGCATCTAGAACTTTCTTTGGTGAAGAAAATCCTTTATCAATCATTTATGAAAAGTTTGTTGCTTTCGCTGAGCTAAAAGATCAAGATTTTGATCTCTCTGATGTCACTTTTCAACGGTGGGGTAAGTACTTTGACTTGATATATTGATCCATTTATCCTATTCTTTTAAAAGAATTTTAGATAAATGCTTCCATTAAGAAGATTGGACAAGATGTTTTAGGAATCCAGTCCAATGTCTTTGGAATCCCAATTGTCATCACTCCTTCTCTTATTGATAAGACAATAAATTGTAAGGACATCGGTGTTTGTGTTGATCAGTACAAAAGAAGTAGTCCCTTCATCACCCTCATTCCTAAGCGGATTTTTGTCATCTTTAATAAGCCGGTAAAAGCCTCATCTTTCTTTTCCATGGTAAAAATATGACATCAGCTGTTGGTGTCAAATATTCTGCCAAGAGAAGAGAATCTGGACTCACTTACTTATGATGACAAACATCTCATGTTATTCATCCAAACTAGGGTTAAAGTTAATCTTTCACTCACTATTTTTAACTTAATGAAGTCAAAGATCATTGCCTCTCATGAGGAAATGTATTTCTTCATTCATTATGGACGAGTTCTTTCAAAATTCTTTTCTCAAGAAGGAATTGCGAAGAAGGTGTAAGAAGTTGGCTTAACTGAGACTCTTGAAATTCATTGGAGCTTGAACCCTAGTCTTTATCCCATAATGAATCCTAAACATGCTATCTCATTATGACTTAATTTTTTTGATAAAAATTTATTAATCAAGAAATCATATCTGTGTTTTTAAAATTGTTAACTAGGCAATCAGATTTCTTATTATAAATAACCAAGCACTGAAACGCTTATTATAACCAGATGAAAATTTATTATCATGCTGATTATTTTTTAAAATATAAAAAATTTTCTAGTCGCAATCGTAAGGGGAGTTTACAAACCTCACTCTGAAGAAACTGAGAATAATTTTGATAGTGTAAAACTCAGGGGGAGCTTACAAATCTAATTCTAATGTTTTAAATATTTGATTATCCAACTAAAAATTGTCCATCAAAATACATGGATTTGTCATCATAAAAAAGGGAGAAATTGTTGAAACAAGTTTGATTCTGCAACTATCCTTGAGTTTTGATGATAACAAAACATAATATGTATGGAGAATAATTTTGTACTCTAATTATTTTGTAAAGTGCACATATCAAAGAAAATCTATTATGACTATAAAGAAGTCAACTTTGGTCGAACCATACTCTAAATTGTAGACGCACTCTGAACTAAAGGAAGAAACAAATGTGTATTTTAAATGAAAGTCAAGCATCTGGATTACCAAGTCAGCACTTCCTCAAAATCTATCCAGAATGACTCTGATAATGACTCTGATGATTCAAGTCTCTGAAGTCTCAGGACTCTGAACTCTATAGACTATGAAGTCTCATTTTCACCATATTATGTAGATAGACTCTGAACTCTATTCACACTTCATCAATTTAAATATGAAGTCTTTAACTAGAAGTTAATAACTAAAAGTAAATGACTGAAAAAAGGATACATGACAAGAGTACAATCAATACAATATCAAATATCCTTTCCACTAACCTGCAAATCAGAAGAGAAAAAAAAAGATTGTACTATTGTACAAACATGGTTCCTTTTGTCCCATTCTCTCACTCCCTCTATGTTGCAAATGCCACTATACTATTGTAGAATCAAACACCTTAGTACAACTTTGATATTGAGGATATTCCAATTTTACCCTCATACGGATCTATCCATCTTCTATATAAAGAGGTCTTGAAAGTTTGGAAAACAAGAAAAACTTATACATGGAGAAAAACAACACTTACAGAAAAAAGAAAAAGAAGTGTTTCACACTAAGAAAATATCACGTTAACACTTTCTTGAATATATTTCTTAAGTGTAATCTCTCTTTTAATTTGTGTATTTGCTTATTTTAGAAGCAACTTTGTAAACACATCTTGTATTTTTAGCCTTTGGTTAAATACCTTGAGAGACTAGGTTATAGTCAGGATTCTCAAGAAGTCTTAGACAAAATATTTTTTAGTTTATAATCAAATCTTTAATTAGTGGATTAAGTCCTTATTGAAAAGACAAAATCACTTTGTCCGATGGATTAGACGTAACTTAGTTAACAACAAATCAAGATAAAAGTATATGTGTCTTTTATCTTTGTTGATCTTTGTTGTTTGTGTTCTTAGGTAGCAAAAAATTTTAATCTAAAAATTTAATTCAAACTCTCATTTATTATGTTTCTTGAATCTTCATGTCTTTTATGGTCTAAATCTTGTTTTAAATACAAATATGCGTTATAATTTATATCTATGATATTAGATAAATCTTTCTATTTGTTATGTAGGTTTGTGTTAGGATCATTCTGAATTCTAAAATAGTATCATAATGTTTTTAAGATCGGTCAGATTGCCTATCAAATATGTTATCAGATCACTTCAATCATGCTTCAGATTTTACGTCTTAAGTTAAAAATAATCTTATATTAAAAATAGTCTTATATTAAAAATGTGATGTAGTAGTTTGAAAATATATTTTTAAATTATGAATTTTTCATTCTACAAACGGATTTTACAACGCTAAATTAAGACGAACCAAGTTATAAAAAGCATGCATTGGTTTGACCTAGTCACTTATATGTTACTTTCTCATGTAAAGTTGATTGGAGACGGCACAAGTAAAATGGTAGACTCCACCATCATCATCATTCTAGTACACGATGGAGTAAAGAAAGAAATGAAGAACATGTTGATGTTACTTTTGCATGGATCTCAAACCGCTAATTAATTACAATGAAAAATTCAAAACAGTAACATAGAATATAGTATACTGTACACATTTATATGTTTGTTTTCATCTGAGAAATTGATTGGTCACCAACCGTAGAATGGCACCATCATTATAATTATAGCACATGATCGTGAAGAGTGGAATAAAAAACACAATGATGTTCCATTTATGTAGCGTTCAAATCTCTAATATTGTGGTGGGTAATAAAGAAACAGTGATATCATGTGTACGTGCATAGAACTATGACAATGTATGATTCAGGTAAGTAAAGAGGGTTTGGATGAGAGGCAATGTATGCATATTTGGTGTGAGAAAAAGCTACTCACTGGGGCCGATCATGGATAGTTAATGTTTAAAACCAATCCATAACTATAAATAATCCATATATTACAACTGGTTATTAAAACCAATTCTTATAACTAGTTTTTATCTTTTAAAATGGTTATAAACCGGTTATATCCATAACCAATTTTATAATTAGT